AATAAACAGACAGCGTCTTAGGATAACAACAGTCCAGTTCTTAAAATTGCTGGTAAGATGCACGATAGTCCTACCGTAGTTCAGAAATTGTTCTAACCTGGGCTACAGCTCTAAACACATATTGGGACTCAAGTCTTTGAAAAGAAAGTTTTTACTTTAATATTATATTTAAGACTCTTACTTGGAAACAGGGAGCTAGGAGGAGGTCAGGCAAGAATTTCTGCTCCTCCCACCTTACATAGTAAGGCTTGTCCATCACTAACTACCTCCTTTAAGGTCTTTTTTCCAGTAATTTCAATGGAGAAATAGTCATTGGAACAAAAGATATTATTTCAATTGCTCTTAAACCCCCTGTTTTTTTGACTGAGTAACACTCTTCCTTCAGTAGATTAGAGCAGGTACCTCAAACAAGCAGAAGGCTCGTGATCGTTCAAAACAGGTACTCCATGCAAAGCGATTCTTTTGGCAAAACACTCAACTCTAAAGTGTCAGTAGTCAGAACCTTTAGAAAGAGAATTACCTTACCTGGTTAGGCTGCCACAGCCTGTATGCTTTTATATTGGAGCTCCTCAAAGCTGGGGAAGCCTGAGTAATGGTGGGGCGGATAGTCTGGCATGATAATGCCCTCAGGCATACTAGCCTCGCAGCCAGCATGGTCACTTAGATAATTAGATAACACTGTGTTCCTGCAAGTACACAAGAAAATATGCTTTACTATTTTGTTATGTGGTTTTCAGACAACAAGGTACATTTACTACTTACTCTCGACTATGCCACAGCCTGTAATAGAAATGGTATTATCACTAGAGTACTGTAGCAAGAGCCAGAACCTTCATGCACTTAACTCTGTTCTATCTATATTTGCCTCCCATTTCCATCAGACTTATCTCTCACAACTTACCCGGAAACAGGAGGACGTACCACTTTCCATACATATAAATGTTTGAGCTACTTTGGCAACTAACTTTCATTTTGAGACGTAACACTGCGTGAGTACTCTGCCCTCCAAATTTACATAAGCTTCAGCTAAGTATAAACCCAAATGAGTAAAGAGCATAACGTACGTGGTGGAAAGAGTTTTAGAGAGGTTTTAAGCTACCCTTTGAAGAATCGATTAGCTTTATAGACGCGGCATTCCGTCAAGGTCACAGCCCAGAACAGCAAGTTCAGGTCGTCTTGCGCAGTTGTGATCCGAGAGACGCCGCTCATGGGCAAATCGACGGCACGAGCAGGCACCAGCCTGTGTATTCCATGGGTAGCATGAAAACTGCTAGCGTGCTGCCGCAAACAGTGCACGCCTTACACATAAAAAAACCCCCAAGCCCTTGCAGTTACACGTACTTTAATTATGACTATATACAACCCCTGACATCACAAGTCACCCCAACCACCAACACGTTTTTTCAAACAACGGTTCGTAGCTCACACGCACGGGGCCCGATATAACTTAAGGGCGTTCGACACTAGCTTTAAACACGCACGAGAAGCGAGCACCCGCAGAGACCCCTTCCAGCCTAGGCAGGGC